AAAAGCACTATATGATTATGAGAGACGCCGTAGTGGAATGCTCTGGAAATTTCGACCACCCGGGGTTCTTTAACGTGCACCCAAATCTGAGTACACGGGCCTACAACATTTCCGCCTCCATCGGAAATGCAGCCGGCGCAGCCGGGATTCGATCCCGCGACCTGCGGGTCAGCAGCCGAGTATTTTGGCCACTAGACCACCGCGGCGGAGCTAAACTGCAACGTTATCAGTCCAACATGGCGGCACTTGAGTGCGTTTGGAAAATGTTGTATACGCCGGGTTTTGCTGTAAAACAGTACAACCGTTGATCCCAGTGAAACACTGTGGCTCTCCTTGTCGATCGTGACGGTTGCGCTTCATTCACCGATCTATTCGTGTCAAGGATATATCGCTCACCGACTGTTGACCTCCTCACAATGACGACACGCGATGGCGATTATAACACGTCATTGTAGCCGCTATCTTTGTTCGCCGTGTAATGCAATGCAGTCGTCCTCGGTTGTGCAATTTATGGGACGCGGCGCTCGCGATAGCTTCCCGCGGTGAGGGCAACCACACGCGCCAGATTTTTTTCTTCTTTTTGTCTCTACCAGGTCGCGCTGTTCCACGTATCTGTGTCGCGGCCACGGTGTAAGAAAAAGTCGCGGCCCACCAGGGATGCTAGTGTGTCGATAGGTTGTCGTCACCGTTTGCGTTTACTCGGTGGTTGACGCCCAATTCACACGTAACGTCACCCTACTTCCGAGAACATATCGGAATCGCCACATCCATCATGCTGGCAATAGGAATAAACGATTGACGGGGGAGCCAGCTGTTCCCTCGAGAAAGCGGCGTTTGGTTTTTCTTGTTGTTGCTGCTGCTGTTGTTGTTTTGCTCCGGACATGGCTCATACCCAACGGAACGAATTGACCTAGTTGAAAGTGAATTTTCTCGATACATTCTGCGTTGCGTCATTCTTAGGTGCACTAGCTAATCAATTAAGGATTTGAAGTACCAATTGCCATGACGATAGTTAAAGCGCGAGAACGAAACGACGACACAGAGACAAGAAGGACACGAAAGACACGTGTCCTTCTTGTTTCTGTGTCGTCGTTTTGTTCTCGCGCTATAACTATCGTCATGCCATACCAACTAGCCCATGCTGCCACACCAATTGCCAGTAATGAAGTATGTAATTCACGCACAATTTACGAAGGGATTCGTTTAGTCACAGTGATGTACTCCTGAACGGCAAATAAAACAGCCCCATGGCTGAACCCCAGAGTAGTGGCTCCTAAAGAAGTAACAGGTTCTGATAATTGCACGACCAGTTTTCGAAGAGGTTGCACTAGTTTTGTGTGTGTTGTGTTTGTGAATGCCCACTTCGACGTTTTCATTGTCGTTTTCAAAATGAATGTTCGTTTCTTCCTTCCTACGATAGATGTTCCAGCGCTGGATGATCGGCTATAAATCGAAGGTATGTGGATCACTTCGTGTCATCGCTCAAGCGATGGCACATTCAGCGAGGTGGCTCCGAGGGTTTGCTAAATTAGCTCAATAATTTTCTTTTAAGAATATTAATTAAACCAGCGAATATCACAAAGAAAGAGAAAGACAGGACTCCTTCCCTTATCGGGAAGGTTTAGAAGTAAATGTCACAGTAATATTATTCTTTGTAGGGATTGCATTGTGTTATAGTACTGGGAGGGGTTCGCTCTGCTGTGATTGCGTACATAATGGAAACAAAAAGATAACCTTGTTATATACTCACTCTTATTTTCGGCTCCGAGCCTATCTGACTGCCCGACCACTTGCTCGTGGAGTATTTTCATTTCATTAGTTCTGATTTGATTTTATAAACTTAATTTCCATTGGAGGTTTTTAGATCCATATTCCGCTAACTTAAAAATCCTGCCACCCGGTTCTTGGCCGATCGCATTTTGTGGGCTGCCGCCACAAGTGTGTGAGGAATCATCATCATGAGAAGGGCAAGCGAAGCTTTGCCTGTGAGTGCCTGAACTACCTCTTTCCCCTTGTTGTTATCCTTCTACCACATTGCGAAATGTTCTCCATCCAAACTTTTACCTTCGTGGAGTCCATGCTGCAGCTGCGCCTCGGTGCAACAGTGGCTATGGTGCTCGGCTGCTGACTCGAAGGTCGCCGGTTCAACCCCAGCAGTGACAGTCGCACTTCGATGGAGGCGAAATTGCAGATGCCCGGGTACTGTATACGTGCGATGCCAGTTCGCATTTAAGAACACCAGTGGGTCGAAATTTCCGGAGCCCTACACTACGGCGTCCCCCGTGATAATACGGTGGTTTTGGGACGTTAAACACTAGATATTTCAAGAATACTCGTGCAACAACAACACATTCTATTATTACTTTTTTTTCCTAGATGCATTCGAGAATGGAATGCCCTTGACCAACTCGTAGCCGAACAGCGTACAGTTGATGTCTTTATAGAAATGTAGCAAAATACGCAAAGCATTTGAGAATAAGCCTGATAGCATAGTATGCACTGTATTTTCATCTTACGATTGCCCCCTTGTATTGCATTGATTGCCAATGTGTCTATTTACACCAACTGTTACAAGTGTGTAAACTTTTCTCTACCCATTTTTAGGATTGTATAAAATTAATAATGCATCCGCTGTCACCTTACATATGCACATAGTTTCCTTTTTCTTAACTTGTACTTGTTCATCAATGCTGCTCGGACCAAATTGTATTGTATCGTTACTCTTGACGTGGCTGCTTTTTGTTCTTTTATTTTTGCTCCCACTCCTGTAAGAACCACCCAAAGGGTTAACAGTATGTTGAAAATAAATAAATATTATTATTATGATTATCCTCATCCCGTGCAGTCGTGGCTCGCTGCAGCCACCCGGGCACTTTTGACCAACCGTACGGCTGCACTATCTATAGCTTCAAATACATTGATACGGTCGACCAACGTTACCTCTGAGTGGCACAGTCGAGCGCGATCTGAAGTTTATCGCGTGAGCGTCAAGCAAGAACGACAGTGCCATGGCGGAGAATGTTCAGTCAAGGAGAGAGTGGCATCAGGCAAGCACTTCTCGTTTTGTTATTCCTTAAGCTGGGATCATTCCTGTCTGATGAAGATCCATTCTCATTTATTTCTTATTAACATTCAGTATATCTTACGCAACCTAGAAAGTCATTCATGTGAAGCAAACTTTGCCATATCTTTCCCATCAGTTTCGAAATCGTACGCGGAGATAAAAGCTTGCAAAGTGTTCCGTTTGGTCACAACGAATGGAAAGCTGAAAGTCAAGAGAAAAGGCGAAGAGTGGATCGTAGGGGTGGTATAGCGTGGAACAGGCAACGATCGAGAAGGATGCGAAATATCGTTTTTTAGGGGCGAAGCTCCTTAGGGCGTGGGCTGTGCGTCCCCTGTAGCCTGTATGTAGCCACCTCTCGTTTAGTTCTTGCAGTGTTCACTAGATGGCGGTATCGTCTCCTGTATGTCGCCTCTTGTCGTTTAGTTCTTGCAGTGTTCACTAGATGGCGGCTCCGTCTCCTGCATGTAGCCACCTCTCGTTTAGTTCTTTCAGTGCTCACTAGATGGCGGGACTTGTAGCTGATGATGAAAAGATGCAAGATGTTATAAACTAGACGGCGGTACTTGTAGTTGATGATGAAAGATGCGAGATGTTATAAAATAGGAATGATGTCACATATGGCACGTGTCATTGGTGGAAGGCAATCGTTCGATTTAGTGCGGCGACGTACGCTAGGGGGAGCATTGTAATAAAATCGAGTAGGCAAAATGTACGGAAGATTCATGGTTTACCAGGTTTTCCTCCAGAGCTTCGCCCACTCATCATCATTCACTTCGCGGATATGGCGGCACTTTTTCACTGTTCCGAAACGTGCCACTTGGATACATGGCATGCTAGGCCGGTTGACACACGCGCGATAACCTTCGAATTGCGCTAGAATGTGAGCATAAATGGGCAACGCGTTTTCTCCGAGAAGTGCGCCATTGCGAGAGTAAAACAGTACGCGCGCTTTTTTCGTGGAAATCGCGAACGTGCAAGAGGAACAGGATCCGTATTTTTCTTCGTCATGGACGTTACCAGAGCCAAAATGAGAACGGAGCTATACTTGGAAGACGAAAAAAAAATAAAAATCGAGGGAAGGTAACTCTACGTTTGTTCGAACCGTACGTGGTCAAACACAATGAGGATACAACAGTCGGGATAAGCGGAATCGTCGAATCGTTCACGTGGAAAGCGCGCCCTCACCCTTTCTTTTCCACTCCCAGGCATGTCACGCGCGCTTTCGTGCATTTCCTCTTCGTCATTCCCGCAGTTTAGTGAAACCATGCACGCATAACTTTGATGACGAGGGTAAACGATGGCATTTTTCGTGTCACGAAATAACTTACGGACCAAAAACAACGCGCCGAGAAGGAAACGAGGTCGATTCCCGTAATCTACATCTCTCCAAAGAAGCGTGCGTATGTGAGAGGGTAAAAACGGGTGGCAGAGAGAGAGAGAGGAGGATGGGAAGCACCCGCAAAGAAGCTGGGGAAAAAAGTGGGAGAGGAAAACGTGTCTTCTTTGCAGCGGGCGGCCGGCCGCTGCAGAAAAGATGCATTGCACGCCGACTGGCAGCGACGATCGCGCAGAAAGCTGACAGAGCGGCGCGGCGACCTACATTAACCCGCGAAGGAGGGCGAGAGTGTAAGCAACCGTTCTAGACCGCGTCTTTCGCGAAGTGCGGCAGACGAGCGAATGGAAGGGAAGGATCTCGTTGTTTGCGAACTAACAGCTGATCCAGGTCTGCCAAGTAAAGGAGTAGAAACGTAAACACCGAAGCATGCGCTGACAGCTCGGCTGGCGAGGCGTAAGCGCTAATAGGGTCGTCTCAATTACTTTCGCGCTCGTAGCGATCACGTGTGCCGTCACCGCAAACCCTCGCCTTTCTTCGTTGATCCGCACGTCGCGAGCGGAAAGCACAGAAACCTGTCCGAAAGCCAACGAAGCACGCAAGGCCTTTCGACAAAAAGGCAGCCGAGGCGTTCCCGTCCCGCGCCGCAGCAGCCTGCATACTTTATTCGGAATCTGTCGTCGCGGGCGCTTACTTCGAGCGGTTTCTCTTTTTTCCCGATCATCGCTGCAAGCCGGACTCGTTCTCGGCGGGTGTTTGTATCAAGCGCGGATTTGTCGCGTGACGTTGTCGAGTTCACGGAGAAGGTGCGGCAGCGTTAAATCAACCGGATCGGGCCCCGACGAGTGCGGGAAAGAGGCGAAAAAGAAAGGAACGACGAATTAACCGAGATAGCCGTTATCGGCGCGAAGCCATTGCGGAAGTTAACTAAGCGGCCGCGGATTCCGTATCGGTGCGTTGGAGTATTTGGAGATGCGAGGTGAAATAGCGAGCGCTGTCGGGCACACATCGCTACTGGCTATCGGGTGAGACTTCTCGGCAGGATTCAAAGGAGTGACCGAAGACCATTCAACCGGGTGGCGTCAGCATGCGGGACAAGTGGGAACTTCAGGTGAGTGAAATGTGATTATTCTTTGACCGTATGCCGTAAACATTTGCCGAGATGGCCCTTCTGTAGCATTTCCCGTCATTATCGCGTAATTGCGACCTGTCCCGGTTTTGATCCATTTTTAGAGCGAAGCTGGATCAGCTTAGCGGAGTGAATTGGAATACGGAGAGCGTCGTATCGGCACGTTACCATGCAACGTTTGAAATTGTACATATATTTTTCAGACATGGATTGATTTTAATAATAAAGAGTCGGAAATTGGGTAGCATACGGTCCTTGGGTTTCCTTTTTGTACGCGCTATATTAGAAAGATTACTCGTGCCCGATGCATGTGTATTGGTGACAGCAGTGTGCGAGTCGGTACGCAAAGCTTTGGGATGATACTATAATGTGAACTCTGTACGACCCCCCCCCCCCCCCCCCCCCCCCCCTTAAAAACCAAAAAGAAAACCTCGTGTAGTTTTCTTCATTCGCAATCATGAAATGCAACAAATGTTTTTACGTGAGACATTAAACGGTTGCCCCTTTTCAAGCTAGAGTGAGTACAGCAAAAAAAAAAAAAAGCAAGGAACAGATATAACGTCTTGAGCTACGAGATCGTTTAAGTTTCCGATCGTAATCCGTAGATTTCCGTGTGGGGCAGAAAATGATGCGAAACTTGATTTAGTCGTGCACCACGAATGCACTTGACGTTCAAAAGGGCTAACCACCGTGTCCACATAAGCTCCTCGACTCGACTTTCACCCTTCACTAGACAGAGTTGAGCACTGCGCCCCTGCTCGGCTGAAAATGACGCTGCGCTACTCAAGAATATATAGCAGCAAATTATCACTGATATGCATTGACTTGCCCTGCCTTGAGATGGCGCTACCATCGACTTTCTCAAGTGAAGGTGGAGCATTGACTGAAGGGGCGTTCTAGAATACGGGGTTTATGTACGTTGCCGGGCTAGTTGGTTGGGGTTCGTCATTGATGTGGGTTTAACGCACCGCGACAATGACATTGAAGAGAGACAAATTGGAGCACGGTAATCGCTGCAGTCGTGGCATACATGTAGTCCGCCATGGTTACGGGTCTGTGACCAAAATGTCGCTGGTTCGATGCCGGCCATGGCGGTCGCATTTCAACGGTGTCGAAATGCCAGAGGCCCTTGCGCTGTGCAGTTTCAGCGCACGTTAAATAACACAGGATGGTCGAAATTCGCAGAGCCCTCCGCTACGGCGTCTCTGATAACCATATCGTTGTTTTGGGACGCAATACCGCACATATTATTACTACGTGTATATCGTGTAACGCGCTCTGCCAATTCGTCGTCAGCTAGTTTACGTTCGCTTATGCCGTTATGACCAAAAACCCACGGTTAAATGATAAAAAAAGAAAAGTTAAAGACATGTTAGCTGAGCACGTGTGCAATATTACTGCACTCACTTATTTCCCAAACGTTTCGAAACTACTCAAGCGCTGACCGCGAATAACCGCAATCCACCCCTTTATCTGGAGGGAGGTTGATTCGGACGCAGTAAACCTCGCCTTTTGAAAATCTGTCATATGGTTCTGTCTTCGCATCTTTTTGCGATAATGAGATTGGATCATGCGTCACATGGCGTAGTTCGGCAAACCGAACTTTTAGATTCGGTCGCAGCCACTTGCTACACAAATACGGAGTGCAAAGTCATTCATTGCGAACGCCCTATATACCTTTTCCATGCTTCTAAACAGTGGTAGGTGCCGTCGACATACTGACACGCTTGTGACTTCGTCGTGGCAGGTAGGCACCGCCCAAGATGGATGGATGGATATGGCTGTACCCTTTAGATCGGGCGGTGGCTAGCGCCACCAAGCCGTAATACCTAATGAACCAAAAACTATATTTATTTTTTTTCCTTAAAAAGTGAGTTTGAGGATTCGTACTTTGCAGTGAAGAGTTTCATTTTCACTCGTGCCTTGACTTTAGCCACCAATCAGATAACCTCCTTCTAGTTAAGTCTACCCGCTTAATGTTTATTTTGCCCTCCCGGTCCCTAAACCCCAGTGCTCTGAAAAACTCTGCGCCATCATCCTGAACTATAGGGTGAAGCCCTTTACAGAACATTATCAAGTGTTCGGCAGTTTCTTCTTCCTCTCCACACGCACTGCATACTGTGTCTACCCCTTCGTAGACATAAAGCTCGCCACTGCCCTCTATGATGACGTGACAACTGGCACAGCAGCTACAAAGCTAGAGTTACTGTATATGCTACCCAAAGTTACTGTATATGCTACCTAAAGGTAGCATATACAGTAGCTTTAGGTAGTAACTTTACTGTATATGCTACCTAAAGGTAGCATATACAGTAACTTTAGGTAGTAACTTTAGGCAGTAACTTTACTGTATATGCTACCTAAAGGTAGCATATACAGTAACTCTATACAAAGCTGCCTTCGAGCGCCGTGCATCGGAAACTCTCCCGTGTAGAGGTGGCGAGCTTTGGATTGGGGCGGAGCCTTCGCGCTGCGACGTCGATACAAGCGCCACAGTATGTCGACGGTGCCTACCACTGTTCACAAATGTGAAAATAGGTCTGTGCTGTAGCTATGTTTTTCTTCGTCAGTGTCTGTTCTTTTTCGTCACGAAAACCTTCACTGGTTTCGTCTTTCCGACCCACCTCTATAGAGAACAAAGTTTTTATGTTTACGTTGTCACTGCTATCCGAAGATAAGTTCTGGGCTTTCATCATCTGGCGTGATCATTGTTGGCCGTGCGCATATCACGCCTGGAAGGGCACGTGCTGAGCGAAGTCGCACGATCTCTTCACCATATATCTCGTGGTTGAACCATTGCAACTACCTGCAACTCTCTTTACTCACGGCCTTCGGTACTGTAAGGTCTTGTTCATAAATAAGTGAAGAAATGAATTATTCCTCTTACGCAGGTGGCCGAATGTATCTTGACGAGTTTCGAAGGAAAGCTTTTTTTTTTCTACATTTCTACACTTTTCAACTTTGGTCGTGATGTTGGACTGTTACACTTTCTGGATGCTTCTGAAGCGATTGTTAGATTTTATGCTGCTAATGTGGATCATTGTAAAAACCTTGGGAGATAAAAAAGGGTGGAGGCGGGGGGAATGGAGTTGTTTCTTCTGCAGCGAATCGTTTCGTTTCTGACAATGCTTCTATCATCTGTCATTTTCGTTAAGCGTATAAGAATCTTCTTCGAAGGCTTCATTCCTGCGACGAAAACAACCCGACCTCAGACCGAAAAAAAGGTTGCCGTGGGTTTTATTTTTTTCCCCTTTCTTTTTGGACCTCGGATGGCTGCGAGTCTATATTTATACTCCCCATGTCTCAGTGATTGGATCACACGAATTCCTCGTACCTATACGTACCAGACGAATGCGCATGGCATGCACCTTCACGAACCGGATTAATAATAGTCCTCCGCGAGTGTACCCCACCGTCGCATATTTATTCGAAGTTATCAGTACTTAGACAATGCCAGTTTTCGTAATGCGTTCTAGAGTCGCAGTGTTCGCTATTATAATTCATACACAGTTCTCTCAAATTGGTGGCCCCGAAAGCCTCTTCTCGCCGTGCTATCTCAACGACGCACGATTCCACTCCCCCCCCCCCCCGCTCCATTGCTAGTATCTCATACGCGAAGTGCCCATTCAGAAACAGACGTACCAGTATAATAAGATGCACCATTCGTCAGCGGGCGCGTTAGATTGCGTAATTGCAGGGTGGACGGACGCTTACTGAGACCGAGACAGCTCCATGGGCGTGCGTGAGGCGGGTTTTACCCGCACGGCCGTCAGCCGGCGTCTTTAGTACGGTGCAGCGTCGTCTTTAGTACGGTGCAGCGTGACTGACGCTGCGGCGTGTATCATCCAGGGGAGATTGCGAGCGCACGTGCAAACGACGCGGGAATCCTGTTGTGCGCTCGCTCGGCTGCTCGTTTACTCAATCAAGTGTTTAGAAAGTTGGGCATTGTGTGTGTGTGTCTTCTTTTTTTTTTTACTTTTTACATTAGCACTGCAGGGTAGCAGACCCGATGCGCGTCTGGTTTGCCGTCTTTTCATATATCATTTATTCTATATATATGGCATGGACCGATGCCGTCTTTTCATATATCATTTATGCGTATATATGGCATGGACCGATGTTAGAACATCGGATCGGACATCAAGAGATGGAATGACTGGTGGTGTGCGGCAAAGAGGGACGTGGAACGATGGAATTTCCAGGACTAAAGCGCAATCGGGTCGCACAGCACTGGTTGGGTTCGGAGATCATTGGTAGATGCCTTCGACCAGTCGTGGATATGAGACTGGCTGCTGCTAATTATGATAACGACGATCGGGAATCCTCCGAGCTTTTTTTTTTTTCTTCAGTTGAGTTTGAAGTTATGGGTAAACCACTGAGTCGAAGCGAGTTTACTTTTACAACACTGAGCTGTTATTTATTTTATTTGTTTATTTATTTGTACTGAAAGGCAGAACGCGTATACAGAATGGAGTGCTAAGATACACTTCCCGCATCGTTCGATGACACAAGCACTACACATAGAAATCAGGACAGAAAATGCATCTTGCAGCTTTAAACAAATCTACACCATACAAACCTTATAAATCGTAATTCAAACGAAAAGCAATATATAAACAAAAGTACAACGTGCGAGAGCATTCAAATTTTACACAGTAGTGACCAACATAGCAACATAGAGCGGAGAGTAACACAGACACTACGCTCAACAAACACCTCAACAAATTGTACACCCGTAGCACTGTCAGTTCGGTGAGTTGATGTGGGTTCATGGTTCTTTATTTGTGTCCCGTGTTTTTGCGTCGTTCAGAACTGTGTACACCAGTAACCCCAGATTCCTTTACTAGCGTAATCCACCACTTGTACGAAATATGAAACAGCTACGATTGTTCCAAAGGTAGTGTGGTTGAACAGCAGCTCCACGAAAAAAGGAATGTATTGGTTTATAAATTATTTTGAGACTGATTATATCATGTTTCTGTTCTCAGCGCGTTAAAGCCGTAGTGATGATGAAGACTGAGTTTCTTCACGCTAGTACTGAGTTACTGGCAAAGAAATGACACGTTAGTATACCGAGCAAAGGGTTCCGTATACTGTGGTGAATTGAGGCTTATACACACTTCGATTAATTTCACACCAACCATGCTGGTCTACTAGTCATGGTCCTTAAAAGATGTAGAAAGATAAAGGCTAAGGGTAAGTCAGGGAGGTTAAGCAGAAAAAAAAAATGTTTGGTTTGCCTTACCTGCACTGGAGAAGCAGTAAGGCGAATATAAATGTAAGGAAGGAAAGAAAAAGAAAACGTTTTTTAAAATCTACTGTCTTTAAGGTAGCGGAGTTGAACCCTGACCAAATGTCGATGGAGGCCAAGTGGAAGATGCTTGTGTGATTAAATTTCAGTGCACATTTAGGAACCCCGTGCGGCCGAAATTTACGGAGCCTTCCACGACGGTGTCTCCCATCATGTCGTGTGCTTCTGGGTCGCGAAGCCCCAACAATTGTGGGCAATTAATTTTGAGAACACCTGGGACCAGAAACAAGGTCGAATCGAGTTTAACGCGTCGTATATTCACAACCGCGATCGCAGAAAAAAAAACGTAGATACAATAAAGGAAGATGTAAAGCGCTGCGACTTCGTCGACTCTGCGCGGATTTGAGGGGTTCGGAGTGTTGCGCGCGCCGGGAGCAAGCCAAGGTCGCACGTGCGCACACGATACGCGCAGGAGTGGCAGCGTTGTCCGGTCGGCAACATCCGGAAAACCCGTCTGCCTTTTACGGCCAACTATAGTCGCGCGGGAGGTTGAGACTCGAGAGGAAATAAGTGCCCGCTGAGCGAGGTGAAAAATACCCGCACGCGACTAAGAGCAAACGTACACACATCCTTGACTCGTCACGCCGTTGGCTGCGAAAAGGTGACTGCAAGAAAACCGGCGAGGCTGGATGTCTTCTTTTATTTATTTGTGAGGGAGGGGGGATACATATTCCTACGTAACACGTAAGGTTTTTTTTTTTTCTTTTTAAACAGGCCCCTTCGCTGAATCTCGTGCATGCCTGCGCGCTCGCAGAGCAGTTCAACAATTTATAATATTACTCGTTGGCTTTGTTGTTAGGTCAAACTTTATTAATAGTCCTGAGCATAGGTCGGCGCACTCATCATGAGTCGACTCACTCGAACTCAGATCGAGCACGGAGTTTGACTTTGAGTGGGCCCGGGTGACTAATATTTTTGTGTATGTGAGTGCGAGTACGTCCTGTTCAAGAAAATATTTGTGTGTGGGATTCCGATTGAGTCCGGCCCAGGATAATTTCAGCGAGTCCGAGGGAGCCCATAGCGCGAATTATGTTTCATCAGGGGGTCTGAGTGAGCTCCACAATTTTTGCCGACCTATGGTCCCTAGAGAAGCGACTATAACGCCCAGTGAGCTCTTCCCACGTTGGGACGGCCAGGCTAAGCCTGACCTCCGCATGCCTGAAATGCTTCTACGGAGGGTTTTCAACCATCTTACTGACAGTATAATAGATGGCGCTGTCTTCTAGACGTACATACAAACTGCAGTTAGGTGAGGGTATTCTAGATGGTGCTGTACCGCTACTCTACGACTAGCTGCTGCGTGGGCTGTGTCTGGGTGCGCTGGGAACGAGTGCCTCTCTGTCTCCTGGATCGTCGCCGAACGTGTCGGATGGTTGGTGGGGCATGCACAAAGTGGAGCGGTGGGCGCGGAGGGCCGCGGCGGCCTGTCCTTGTCGACAGACAGACAAACAGACAGACAGACAGACAGACAGACGGACAGACAGACGGACAGACGGACGGGCAGACAGACGGACAGACGGACAGACGGACGGACAGACAGACGGACAGACGGACAGACGGACAGACGGACGGACAGACGGACAGGCAGACAGACGGGCAGACAGACAGACGGGCAGACAGACAGACAGACGGACAGACAGACGGACAGACAGACGGACAGACAGACAGACAGACAGACAGACAGACAGACGGGCGGGCGGGCGGGCGGGCGGGCGGGCGGACTGCTTTACCCATTATCACTCACTCCATAGGTATGCAATGCTTTTTTTTCTACAAATTCACTTTCTTTCCAGTTTGCACTACTAGATTTAGCCAATACGTTTAATCGCTCGCGAACACACAGCAGCTAAAGTATATATGTTTGGGCTTTAGTATTAGGTATCATACATTTGATGGACGAAGACAGTATATAGGCAGTGCCTTGTGAGTAGCTTGACATAGTGTCCAGTGCGTCGAACGTGTACTTTTATTCAACTCTGATGTTATTCAAGTATCCCAAAATGATCCTCTATGACGCATGCTTTTGACAATCTATGCTGTCTCCGCACTGGCTTCATGCTTAGGACTGTGCAGCGCTCACAAAAAGGACAAAGGAAAGAAGAGCAGCGCATATTGGGTGCACTTTTTCTGTCGTTTGTCCTTTTTGTGGGCACTGCACGGTCTTGAGCATGAATCCGTACCAAATCGCTTCATTTTATATCATTCGTAGTGGTTCCGAGAAGATCAATAAAAGTCGCACGGCATCCTAACGAGAGAGAGAGAGAGTGTAAGATAACTTATTGAAAGGCAGAGGGGCCAGCCTGGTCAAGGACGCTCTAGCCTGCTAGAGTCGTACTGTATTGACGCGGAAACACTGAGGGTGATAGTGCATCGCATTCGCAGGTAACTGCTGAAAGATAATGTTTGTGTACACGACAGCATATCACTTTCCCCTTCGTTCCTTATATGCATCGAACACAATGGACGACCGCTTGACCAGTTATCAGCAGTGAGATTTCGCCACTGTGTTGCACAGAATTGGCGAGAACGATAGAAGCCTCTAGAAAGCGCTTTCGACGTACGTAGAACCACATAAGTTATTAGAACGCCTTCGATTTGCCTTGGTGCGTCGGGTACGATTAATGTAGTGTGCGTCATCGTATTATAGCTTAAGAGCGGTTTGTCAGAGCAGTATTCAATTAAAGCCGTAGTAGTTGCCCAATCGTGAGATGATGCGCCTCATACAAAGCGTCTGTGGAGGGACTGCAGGGAAAGAAAGTGCCGCATGCTTAAACCTTCAGCTATTGTGTTTAGATTCAGTGACGTAAGTGAATAAATACACCGAAGAGTCGCTGTATTAGCAGCGCAATCTCGTATGGCTTATAGGTCATTGCAAAATAAGTTTCAAAAAAAGAAAAATGAAAAGAACTATAATGAAAACAATGAATGAATAAAAATTGGAATGCCCATTGATGTAAACAGAGACTTTGCTTGTAGACTTGCGCTGAGATTTCTATACAGTGCAGTCGAATGCTTTTCTTTCTTTGCTTGTTTCTTTGCTAGTTGAACAACAAATGCACGGTGTTGCTAGAAGTGGCTCTGATTCAGCCTGCCTTTCAATGTTTCCAAATCGGAATAAATAAAACTCTCACGGGGTCTTTTATGCCTTCTCCTAAGAAGAATCGAAAGGGAAAGCCATCTCTATCTTCTCAATCAATATACTGATCCGCTCCTGTTCTCCTCCAAAAGCATTCTGCATTCAACGTGGTTTTGCATTGCCTCTGTGATCGGAGGAATCGCAAGCTTTGTGCGCGTCATCGGGTCTTGCACTACGTCCGTGATCGCCTCCCCTTTGAACATGCGACGATTTCATTGCACGAACTTATTACGGTGTGTCACGTTGTCCACCTCGGTGGAACAGTTGTTACCGTGCCCGGCTGCGTACCAGAAGTTCGCGGGACCGAACCTCGGTCGTGGCGGTCGCATTTCGACGGCGGCAACGTGGTAGAGGCCCGTCTACTGTGCGGTGTCACTGTCCACGAGATGGTCAGAATTTCCGGTGACCTCCACTACGGCGTCTCTTATGCATATCGTGGTTGCGGGACGTAAAACTGCATATATCATTTCGATATTCGATATATATATATATATATATATATATATATATATATATATATATATATATATATATATATATATATATATATATATATATATATATATAATATAATATAATTTTTTTGTAATTTCTATAATTTTTTTGTGAATACAGCGCGTTCAGTGTCGAGCTGTAAACGTTGTTAGCTCTTTTACTTTGTTTGTTGTTTTCGTGCGTCATTTGTGCGTGATCAGCGCGCTGCACGTTTTGATCTGCCGGCCGCATTTTCAGCGTAACATTTCAAGTTGTTGCTATCGCATTCATTGCGTCGCCCTCGCAGCGAAAATGTGACATTATTATTATTATTATTATTATTATTATTATTATTATTATTATTATTATTATTATTATTATTCCACCACGTCAAGTTAATTGACACGGGCAATGAATTTTCGTGTTTGATAGGCAACCAAAGCTTTCGCCTGAATAATAAAGCGGGATCACTTCAGCCCGAGAAGTAAGAGCGTCCCGGTGGCCAGATGAGTTCACAAAGTTTGTATTTTTGTTCTTTCTGAAACGCAGGAGCTTCCGCCTCCGTACCAGGAAAAGTCAATCGAGAACGGAGTCGCTCTCGGATTGCAGTCAGCGGTAAGTGAAGGCTCGGGTTCGTCTCGCAACGTGAAACGCCGCAGGCATTCTTCTCTGGACACCCATAGGTACAAGGTCCAGGAAGAATTAAAAAGCACGTTTTGTATATCGGAGCTACTGCTCTACAGACATACAAGCAGAGGACGCAGGCGCAGTCAAGAACGTGCAAACGTAACAATCTTAGCAGGGGGTTACCCAATTCCTCAGGCTCGACAAGTCGGAATACCGATCCTCCGCATATCCGAGAACGCGCATAACGGGGAAGCAATAAACATACTGAATAGCAACACTCAGCTGACCGTTAGACTGATCCGAAGAGTTGCCAACAAAATTACGGAATAAAAGAACACAACTTGGAGCAGCTCATAGAAGCCTTCGCCGTCAGTCGCAGAGTGTATGCCATATCTCAAGTTGCAAGCAACGGAAGAAATCGAGATAGAATGCATAATCAAAAAAAGCATATAAGCAAGCACTCGGCTAACCGATCATCACATCTAACAAAAAGTTTGAAGCACTAGGTATGCGTAACAAGCTAGACAAACTTGTTGAGGCTCATATCATTACACATTATGAACGACTCTAACAAAGCAACACAGGAGGAATTCACAAAGCGACACAGGAAGAACTGGGCATCACGTACGCTGGCCAAAGCGGGGATTAATACGATATACCAAAAGAAACCAGAGAGCGCATCATAATATTGCCGTTACCCAGAAACATGTAGCCCGAATATGAATAGGGCGAAATCACTACACAACAAGATTCAAAACGATATGGATGTGGCGGAGTATCTGGACGGTTGACGCATGGTATTGGTTGCTTCAAATCTGGCGGGCCACCTGCTCGCCAGCAGTACTATTAAATCAGGGACGTCTGAAATCGCTGAGGAAGTGGCCATAACGTTGGCGCTTGCATATACAACAGCCATCGTTATAATCAGCAACTTTAAAACCACAGATCTTAATTTTGCTCATGGTATAGGTTTCGAAAGAGGCGAAGAAAATTCTGACTAGAATAATGAGCTAGAATAATGAAGGAGAACTAGAGCTAGAATAATGAAGAAGAACAGCTATTTCGGCTAGTTAGTTAAGTGATATTTAGCTAAGAGATAGTTACTTAGTTGGGCTAGTTAGTTAAGTGCACAGTGAAAGCGTTTGCAGTTCAACCACAATAGTGCTTGCGCTGCAAACCTTTTCAAAAAGTACGCAGAGCTTCGCGCTAGTGTATGTGGTCATTGCGCTGCAGGGTCCAAATGCTATCCTCTTGGGTACCCACGTTAGTGACAAAAATCACCTATACCTTACCAAATTAACACAATCTCGGCGTACTTCAATCTAAAACTGCCTGATAACAGTGCAGAATAGCGAACGTTGACATATATAGTGATGAATACGCAGGAATGATTTTGAAAAAAAAAATTCCATTACCCACCTGTCATAGCCGTCAGGTCTGTCTGTTTTGCTGCAAGAATTCACTAACCATCGTAGTTCTCGGGTGCTTCAAACATGAGTGGGACGTTAATAAGTATAAAATTTGTTACGATATACGGTAAGTGAAATAGCACGATGAAAATTTACCGTGCCGCATAACAAAGGTAAATCCAAAACGCCAGGGGGAGGAATTTCCGCTAGAATTATTCATTAGTTGCCGAGCATGTTATGTTGTCGTATATGCTTCCACTTTTTTTTTTTTTAGTGGTGGACAGGCGTTATACAAGCTGAAACCCTTTGTCCGAGCATCTTGCGACACGGGCTGGCGCACATGGTTCAACTGATGCTCAGAGGAAAACAGGCACGACGTGATCGTAAATAACACAGGCGCGCAAGCGAGAAATGACAGCATACACGCTTATGAAAGTTTACGGAACATCGTCGTTGTTTGCCTTATAGCTGCGTGGCATTCTCTATCGCTCTGCAGCACCAACCTTTTCCCCGTACCTGGAATTTCAGCTTGCTTCTTCTTCTTCTTGTTTCTCTGCCGAGCGATTCTTGCTCGTTTTCCGCATTTCTGAAGGAGTGCGTTCACCTCGACAGGCCGCCGCTGATGAGGAGGCCGCGCCCGACGCCGCACCCGACCGCAAACAATGGAACAAAGGCATGCAGTTTTTTCTCTCCTGCCTGTCCATTTCCATCGGCTTGGGCAATGTCTGGAGGTTCCCGACGCTGGCCTACCAAAATGGAGGAGGTAAACGTCGTACCACTTCTCTCTTTCCCTCTCCTGCTTTTTAAAATATTTTTTATTCCCATAGTATAGAGATATGTTGGTTCACATTTGAGGTGCCGGATACTCCGTAGCTCTTATAGAGGTGTCGAGCATAAAACATACAGGCTCCAAATTTCCGAACAAAACAAATGCGTAGCACATACAATGCGCAACTCGAAGAACGCCATGTTACTTGGATATGACGTCTCAAAAGCACAAATCCTAATGTACCTTATATGACGTTATGAAGTCATTTATCGTGTTGATGAATTATCACCTAAAGGCAGAACATGGCAGCTGAAAAAGCATAGTCCACAATCAGATATATATGTATGTACACGGGAATCTTAATATAAAAAGCAACATACATATCACCTTCATTACAAATATGATCAGCCGTCACAGAAACATACACTGTGATAACAACAAAAAAAGCTTACATGCGTTAGCGATGACCAAGAATGCCGCTATCTCCAAGAAATGTTTTGAATGCATTCTTACTGGCGTGTTCTTTCCCGTAGCCTATCGCCCGAAATTTCACACTAATCAACCAATCAATCAAATAATCAATCAATCAAAATATTATCACTCTGTAACAGTGGTCTGACATGTTCAGATCGTATACCTTGTGTCTAAAAGATCTCTGCAGCTTTCGCACGTCTCTTATTGTGAAGGGAAAAAAGTAGGTAGTCGTGATGTTCGAATGCTCTTTAGGAAAAACTAATTCCGTCGCTTCACCTAACTGTATCTCCCGACGCTGTGCCAACTTCAAGTTGCCGATTTCGTGCAATAATGCATGAAGTGAGCTCTTGCTTAGCTCGTGCTTCAAGGCGGGTGATTTCCAGTGGGAAAGCCACGAAGTATGACTAGTAGGACGGAATTCGAGGACTCCGAAAAAATTCTTTGCAGGGTTTAGCAAACTCTGCCCAACTATATCTCATTCAAAAGCCCGAAACTTCGTTACAACGCGTGTCACAGGCGCAGAACACCACTGTAGCGCCAAAAAAACACGCATCAAAAATATATGCTACTGGGTCGGAAATGTGAACGCTTGGAAAAAATCTGGCTTTAGTGCGGTGGTTTGTCGGCCGCGCAGTCTGTCATCAATGTCGTTGCTGAAAGCACGTGACCTTGACGAGAGAACATGGATTGTGGCGTTCGCGGGCGTTAATGAGCTCGTATAAGCACCGAAAGGGCGCTTGCCGCGCTTAATGCCTTGTAAATCGCTCGCACTTCCTTCCTTAATTCGCACAAGCGTGTAACGCGGACGAGTTCAAGCGGAACATTGAGGCCAGGATCGCGCAGGCTGCCATAGGATGTTGCGAGCCCAGCGAGTGCATGAACGCCAACTTAGGATAACGCCTCCTCTGTTTTTGAGGAGTTGAATAGAACAGTACTGAAAGTTAATGTCTTTTACACCGGATCTGTTATTGACGAGGTTCACCGCGTGTCTTAAATAGAAAATTATCACCTTCATAAATCGACACAAGCTCAGTCGCCGTCGATGCATTCTGAACAGATGGTTTGAAAAAAAAAAAAAAGCTGAAACGTGTCCAACTATATATACAGGGCGTCATGCACATAAATTGAGCCAGGAATTTGAAAGTGAAAGCCACTTAGGAGGCGAATTGAAACAAACGAAGTCTACTCGCACTAGCCTGTAGGTACTCGGGCTATTTTTTATTCCTCCGCATACTAATTAGTTAATAATTTCAATTACATATTTTAATTATGGACTGGAAACCCAACATATGAACACCGAGATGTTAAGCACTTTCAGAAACCACCGACTAAATTGTTTGTTTCCTGTACGATACGTCTAGCGCTGTCATTTTTTCCGCGTTGTAAAGAAAGCCTATATATATAGCAGCACTGTAGCAGTGCGCTCGTGGTCCGTCACACGGCTTTTTTTCACATTTCGCGGGCTTTTTTCACAACGTGGGAAAAATAACAGCGCGAGACATATCGTACAGGAAACAATTCAGTCGGTGCTCTACATCTCAATGTTCATATTTTGGGTTTTCAGCCCATAATAAAAGATGAGTAATTAAAAATAATAATAATTAGTATGGGGAGAAATAAAAATTGCCTGAGTACCTACAGGCTAGTGCGAGTAGTGTGTTTAGAAAAAGTAATTAACGATTTGGAGCACTAGGTGCTCTACTATGGGAGAGCTGTGGGCCGTCCCTGAATGCGTTTTTGTTGTAGTACGCGTTTGGTTCAATTCGCCAGTGAATTGTCTTTCATTTTCAAATTCTTGGCTCAAGTTGTGTGGGACATCCCGTATATGCTGTGACAGTTTTGTGCGGTTTGGTTTACGCTGCGCTAACTTAGTAGTCGTGAACCTGCCCATTTCATTTATCTGCACTTTTTACTTCAACTGCGATATCCTGTTTTTTTTTTCTAAGTTATATATAACTCGCCTACGTAGCTTGGTAGGTAAGGTGACGCGCTCCTATCAGCATAAGGGCACGGGTTCCATGCCAAAGGGGCATTTCGATGTGGCTGGACCACTCGAACACATGGGCACGCGAAAGAACCTGAGGGCATCAAAATTAAATTGAAGTGCCCCTGTGTGGCATGCTTAGTATTGATATCGAAGTTTTCGCACGTGAAACCTCAGTATTTATTATTATTTTGTTATTTATACACCACAAAAGCGTACAATGCAAATTACGCTGATGTTAAAGTATGATGGCGAGTAGTATGATGGCGAGTTAAACTCAGCAGTTTTATATTTTCTTGTTTTGCTGTGTGCGTATATATTGAAATATAACGAATGTATCACCGAATGGCTCTCCGGCAAATGTTATTATAGTTAAGAAAATTATGGAATTCACAGGTTTTTCCCTCGCCCCATTTCGAGGGCTTTACATTCGTCAAATGAAGTTATTTTAGTAAAGGTCCAGTTTCGCCTGAAGAACAACCACTGTTAATGCGGAATTCTTCGCGTTTCTCGCCAGCTACGAAACTCAAGTTGAAGCCCCCTAATGAACAGATCGGGCAATACGTGTTCTCACGAGCTTTGTCTACTGTTGCTTTCTGAACGCTCTCATTATATTTTTCTTTCATTTCCTCTGGTTGATACTCGGCATAGCTCCACGGTAGAATCAAACATAAACGCCGAGGCTTGCTCCATGTAGATGCTGCGAAGGCGTCTTGTAATACGTGTTGTCTCACCGAGCGTTTCTTGAATTTTCAGGCGCCTTCCTGATTCCCTACTTCATCGTACTGTTCCTAATCGGCAAGCCCGTTTATTTCATGGAGCTCGCCATCGGCCAATTCGTGGGCAAGAGTCACGTCAAAGTATGGAAATGTGTACCAGGACTCAAAGGTCAGTCAAGCACAATGCTTCTCCATTGTCTTGCTTCTTTTTATTTTCTTTTTTTGCTGCAGAGATCGGTTTAAAATGTAGAACACGCTTATTTTCAACGCTTGTTTACGCGTGTAAATTCAGCAGTGAATGATCAAAACGTTGTGATATCGTCACCTGATCGCAGTAGATTTATAATGGACAAATTTATTTGCCATTATAGGGAGGCCTAAATTAGCGGAACTACTGTGATTGTATGATGGCGTCAAGTTGACCGGCTCGGTCCGACAGTATTTTGCTATGTGGTCAAAATTTCCGAAGTCCTTCAGTGTGGCGTCTCTCATAATCATATAGTGGTTTTGGGACGTTAAACTCCACATATCAATGAATCAACAGTATTTTCTTTGCATTCACTAAAGCAAATGATAGTTGAGCGTGACTTGCTAGATGTTAGGTGCAATTAATTATTTGCGTTAAGAGATACGGCATATCATAATAAAAGAGGTAATGTAGTAAATAGGATATGCATTATTATTATTATTATTATTATTATTATTATTATTATTATTATTATTATTATTATTATTATTATTATTATTATTATTATTATTATTATTATTATTATTATTGTTGTTGTTGTTGTTGTTGTTGTTGTTGTTGTTGTTGTTGTTGTTTTTCTCTGCAACTGGTATACTGGTATCAGCGCCAGTAATTCTAAGAATCAATGTTATGTACGCTTTGCGTGTGGCCTTTTATTAAATGCCTTTGCCTGTTTCGGTATTGTCTCGCTTATTTCAGATGACGCATATAGCCGAAATAGCAACCAACTCTTCTCGATAAAGTTACGCATAAAATTGTGTGCATACTAAGTACCAGTTTCTCCAAAACTCTGGTCGCATTATTCGATGGTAAAAGAAAGCTTTTTGTTCACTACCGCAATCTTACAGGCCTGAGTGATGGAGTGTAGACATGTTATAGGCTTCTTTCTGGTTGCTTGCAGGGCTCCCTCTATCCCTATTTGATCCCCTTTCCGCTATTCTTTTTTATAACCCCCCAAGGCAGGGTAGCTAACGGGGGCTCGTATCGTTAACCCTCATTTCTCATAATCACTTTTCTTGCTCTCTGACTGATTCTTACGATTTGATACCCAAACTATGTGGTTCGACTTGACGGGTTCAGTCATGAGGCTGTTGCACGACTGTTGCCGGATGTAAAATGCTCAGACCCAAGGCGGCTGAGAAAAGCCCCTGTTGCGGGAGAAGAGAGCCGGCAACGAACCACACATGTTTAAACTGACCTGCCGTGCATTCATTCCAGCAATAGGGCTGTGCTCATGGCGATAAAGGCGTTTCTTCTCTGCCCAGGCATCGGCGTCGCGCAGCTATTCTCCACATTCTACGTAACCGTGTCCTACAACTACATCATGGCCCTGTGCCTGTTCTATCTGTTCGCTTCGTTCCAAAGTTACCTGCCCTGGTCTCGGTGCGATGGCGACTGGAGCGACGCCACTTGCGTGGACTCATTCAGTGTGAGTGGCTCTATAACAAGTGGGAAGGAACGTGTGCAGTCTGAGTCACACTTGTCTAGAGCGGGCAGGATAATTCAAACATGGATGGAAGCTGGTAGTTAATGTGACGTAACAGCTGTGGATGAAGAGAGCGACCGCGGCAAGGCTGGATGGGATTCCAGATACATGTATCCTAGATACTATTTTGGGTACTTTTTTGGTATCTTGTATTCGTCTCGCAAGATGAGTACCTGTATCTGTATTTCCGTTACGCTCGATAATGTATCGTGTATATCTTAAGATACAAGATATTGTGGTTGCAATGCTGCTGCGCAAAACATTACAGCGTGTCATAGCTAAGCGTCTCAGACTAACATGTATGATTTGTCTCTGCGCTGTTCTACTATGAATACCAGCTAACTAGCCCTACTCTCGCCTTTGTCCCAAGAAAATATTCACATTCCCACCGCCAGTCCCAAATTCTTTCTGATGGGCATTTGTATATATTTATGTACACCTCCACACCCACAAACACAATTTGCTTCATCAAAATAAGATCAGTGACATTATTGGTAATCAAAAATGCATTTTTTTTTCAGGGCTCGGGGAACATGTCAAACATCACTAAGGCATCATCAGCTCCGGAGCAATATTTTCAGTATGTATAACAAGGTAACTTGAAGTGTTTCTTACAAAGAAATGTTCAAGTTACGCTTTGATTTCCTGGGACACTCAGTGTAATGTCAGACTTTTCAACCAATGCGAAGTGTCCTTACTCTTCCCATTACTCAGGGGCACCGAGCACCACGAATGCTCAGCACAAATGCGTGTGACCTGTGCATCCATGGTGAATGGTTATACACGAATCTTTTGTTGCAAAAAAAAAAAATCTTGATCAATATACACATTTAAAGCAAAGGTCATGATTATTGCAGCTACTTACACTAGCGCCAGTCGCAATTCCAAGCGAGTTTTAGGCTATAACGTTGCAATTTCTGTTGCAGGAATTACGTGCTCAGAGATTCTGGAGGCTTCACTCTACCCTCATCGCTAGACTGGCGTATGGCGCTGTGCTTTCTTCTAGCCTGGATCTGCGAGGCACTGTCCACGTTCAAGGGCATTCGTTCGGTTGGCAAGGTGAGCCACTGCAGAATAGCTTATAGAAAAAGCCCGCAGAGAATAGTCTTTAGCGAGGTCGTATCAGCCGTAAAAGTCACCATTTTTTTAATGTCATAATCAATCAATCTGATTTTTATTGACAAATCAAAGAAAAGATTACAAGATATCTGGACCGTTAGCCTACATTGCCTAGTGATCGGTCCATATCGGAGTACATAAAAGCAGCTTAGCAGAGCATATTTAGCAATAAACACATATATACACAATTATTTATACATATTACATATATAAGCGCGTGTACATATATGCATTTTCACAACATACCCAAATATAGTTTGTTTCATCATCACCGTCATATATAATTAGTGACTGGGTAAAAGCACCATTGCGATTCTTGTACTGGTGTATGACTAAGCGTTCACTTTCGAATACTCAAACAAACGGGACTGGAAACACGTGGCATTATCCCAAAACATACTAGATAGATTTCTCGCGGCAGCTCGCATGGCGTGTATACGAGAGTTTGTAGTTGCGTATTTGCTTACCTTCTTGAAGGTGGTGTACCTGACGTCAACGATGCCGTACGTGGTGATGCTCTCGCTGCTGATCATCACCTGCCTACAGGACGGCGCGCTGAACGGCATCAAGGCCTTCTTCATTCCGCACTGGGAAAAGATTTGGGAGATTGAGGTACGGCTGCTTGCGCGCTCTGAAGCGTGGACGTCGATATTTAGGCGTGTTTGCTTACAAACTGAAAGCGTGCCTTCGCTTTGTAATAGACTGCTCGCCGCATTAAACAGAGTGTATACTGTCATGTTGCAAAAAGTAATAAAAAATAATTATAGCAATGGTGATAAATGTCACGTCTAAATTAGAAACACTTTCGTGGCTTTGCTTGGTGCACCTGCGATTAAAAAAAAAAGTGGAGCACGCATATATATGCCATTTCGTGTGCAGAACGGGTAACTCCAATAAAAGCGTGCAGAACGTGACTTTGGTTGATAGCGGTATGGAAAAACTGGGAATCAAGAATGTGACTGCGAATAATAATAATAATAATAATAATAATAATAATAATAATAATAATATAATAATAATAATAATAATAATAATAATAATAATAATAATAATAATAATAATAGTAATAATAATAGTAATAATAATAGTAATAATAGTAGTAATAATAGTAGTAATAACAGTAGTAATAACAGTAGTAATAACAGTAGTAATAACAGTAGTAATAACAGTAGTAATAACAGTAGTAATAATAGTAATAATAATAATAATAATAATAATAATAATAATAATAATAATAATAATAATAATAATAATAGTAATAATAATCGTGTTTCTACATACCGAGACCGTGATATGATAATGAGGGGCGCCGCAGTGGTGGGCTCCGGTAATTTTGGCCGTCTGGCGTTCTTTAAAGTGCGCGAAAGTCAAAGCATACGGGCAACTAGCATTTCTTCGTCATTGAAATACGGCTTCCAAAGCCAGTATTTGGTACCACGAACTTCGAGACAGCATTAAAGCAAAAAGGTAGCGGGATTTGCCTACGCATTATGATTCACCCTAAAGAGGTTCACCTCTTTATCGTTGTCCAAGCATTGTATACTGCTGGCGTATACTGCTAAGAAAGTAAGTCCTGCCTTGTCGAGAGGCCTCTATTTTTTCATAAGATTGGTAAACACATGGTCTTCAAAGTTTCAGTTTATTTATTTTTACTTTCGTACAAAACATACATGCTTACATAAACATACAGAAGGAGGTCCCAGAGCACTTGACTGAAGGGGGACTTCCTGTCAGAAAATGTGATAAATATGCACAAGTAAAGTACTCAAGTAGTATTAATGTCGCCAAATAGAAATGTGAACTAGCGGTCTGAAACCGGTCAAACGTTGAACTTTCAGTGCAGTTCTCGAAAAGCTGGATTAACAATAGGCAGCTTGTTGACGTGCAAGGTATGTTAAGTTGTTTATCTTAGGGTTCTATAGTAGGCCTAGTGACTCCAAGCGTGATTTTTGAGCGCTCCGAGTGATGTTTTCGAGTTTCTACTTTCTTGTGCATGACCACTTCTTTCATTCTAAACGCACTTACAGAACTTAAGGTGGAATGTGCACAGAGGCAGAGAAATGCAAATGAGATACGGATGGGATAGTGACGTTACACCTGATTTGCTACCCTAGTCGGGGGGGGGGGGGGGCAGGAGAAGAGAATGAAAGAAGAAGAAAAGGGAGAAGTGATGCGAGCGCACATGTAGCAGCATTCGTCTTGAACGCACAGAGGATCGCAACTGAAAACTGTTTGAGAATCCGGCTGCTGTGCGATTTTCGTAAGGAAATATGTAGTATAGCACCCATGCACTTCGTTAATGAGAGTTTTCGAAGACTGGTTCCCGGGCATTTGGAAATTGTAGCGCGTTTCGAGAGTTGTCGTAATCTTGAAGTGAATCTATAGTAGCATTCCGCTGAAGATGGCTTCTTCTTCAATGAGAACTGTCAGCGCCGCCGGCATCGGTGAAAATGTCTGAAACAAAATTGTGGCGCCGGAATGAAACGAAAAAAAAAGTGCCGCCATATCCACGAAGTGAATAATGATAAGTGGGCGAAGCTCCAGAAGTAACCCTGGTAAACCATGAATCCTCGGTACATTTTGCCCACTTGATTTTATTACAACGCTCCCCTGAGCGTACGTCGCCGCACTCAATCGAACGATTGCCTTCCACTAATGACACGCGTCATATGTGACATCATTCCTATTTTATAACATGTCGCATCTTTCATTATCAACTACAAGTACTGCCGTCTAGCTTATAACATCTTGCATCTTTTCATCATCAGCTACAAGTACCGCCATCTAGTGAACACCGCAGGAACTAAACGAGAGGTGGCTACATACAGGGGACGGTACCGCCATCTAGTGAACACTGCAAGAACTAAACGAAAGGTGGCTACATACAGAGGACGCACAGCCCACGCCTTAAGGAGCTTCGCCCCTAAAACCTCGGAAGGACATTAAATAGCCTTGAATTAACTTGTTATCACCCGTTTGTTCACCGCCTCTTTTCTCCAGGTGTGGTTCAAGGCCTGTGAACAGTCGTTTTTCTCTCTGACGACGGCGTTCGGCCATCTCATTATGTACGCCAGCTACAACGACTTCAGGCACCAAGTGGGAAGGTGAGTCGGGTCCTGCAGGTAGCACGACTGCACTAAATCAGGTCCTCGAAACCTGCTCATTTCACGGCTTCGCTAAAGATGCGTCGGCATGTTTGTTGCAGGCACACACGACAGAGGGCAACGTGGCTTGTTCCTTTTTGACCATTCGAGGGTTTATCGCGCTTGCCAAAGTCGGCAACTTCATCCTGTTATCTACTAAAAATAAAACAAACAAGCTTTTCTTTTTTAATTTGTAGTTGTTCTGCCTGTTACTCTCAACCTGTGTCCATGAGAGTCGCTATTGTGTTTTGGTCGATACGTGCTAGAGTACGCTAGCGCTCAAGGGGTGTGGACGTTTTACGGGCATCAGCCATGTTTCGATCTCGTGTCATACGGAGATTCGGGGCACATTTCAGCCGTCACCGTTACGTAATACCATTGATATTCACGGCAGCATGAGCCACCTGTGTGTTGAGTATTAGAAGGCCTCTGCAAACGCGAGTGCGCTTGGGTCCGTACACACCGTTGCGGAAACCCTGTGGCTCCAAAAGCTACGAAACCAAGTGGATGTTCGGTCCTAATAGAATGAACCATGTACATCCATACTTCTAGGCGACGCCAGCCTCGAAAAAGTACTAGGAGGTATTGCTTTAGGTGTAAAAAAAAAAAAAAAACTCGTTTGCGCAATTACTCGACAAAACCATGGCTTTTCGATACGAATCTGGCCGCTAGGGATGGGGTCGTACTGTCAAGCAAGAGTACGAGCAGTGGTAGTGGTAGTGAACTCTCTAGACCGGTTGATCTGGCTTAAAGGAGGTGGGCTGGAAGCTCTTGGGATATACTGCCGCCTCCACCGTGTGCCGGACGAGTCTGCGTTGGTCTGCGGGCTCGGAGGTACGCAGGAGAGACTCCCACAGCTCTGGGGTGTTTGTGTTGCCTTTGTTGTAGTGCGTGCAAGTCCACACCATATGCATGAGTGTGACTGAGGATGAGCAAAGTTGCCACCTTAGCACTATATCTGTTCCAGAAAAAAAAATTCTGCTGTATAAGATGCGGTGCGGGAAGCTGCCTGTCCGTCGTTAGCGCCATCTAACCACCTCGAGACTTGCTAGATTGTGAAGTGCAGGGGGATATACGCATGCCCAGCGATATAATGTCCAGGCCGTGGCCAGGTTTTTTTCCCCTTTGGGTGGGGGGGGGGGGCACTTGTTGAAGACTTCGAAAAATACCTTGTTTATTATTTTTACAACCACCTCCTTCTCAAATTCGGGAGAACGAAGCCCTTTCAGTAAGCATGTAAGCATGTACCAACTTTCAGTAAGCAGGTACCAAGTAGCCCAACAAAAAGGTTTATTGAGAAAATGAGTTTTTCTCTCTTTCATCTCACGTCTTGCCCTGCAGGGACGCATTCTTCATCAGCATTGCTGACACCATGACGAGCATCTTGGCAGGCTGCGTTGTGTTCGCCACCTTGGGATCTCTTGCCTACGATCTCGGCACCGACGACATCTCGCAGGTGCTCAAAGGTGAATCGGGTGAGTACATTACTCTGCCGGCACTTTTGTGTTTTGACACCTGAACGTTATACGCACGTACTACTATTCAGGTTTACAAAACTAGCACAAGTGATAAATTCTGCTGTCCTATTACTTCACGCATTTCCTGTAACAGGCAATCGCTTTTCCAGACTTGTTCAATGAGCTTCTGATATTGTTATTGCACTCCTGTCTTCAAGGCTATACAGTTGACCAGTCTTTGTGCCTTTGATCACACTTTTCTTTCTCAATCTTTCTCTTTTCTTAAGCTTCGTCTTTGCGCGATTCCGCAATCCTTTGTTCGCGGCCGGTCTTAACACGGCATGTCCACCTATAGGTAGAGAAAGCTCTGTACGTTTTTATTTAGTATTATATTCTCTTTCCTTTAGGCATTTTACTCCCATATTTTTAGTGGCGAAGGTATTGCATGGTTCTCATAAGCTTTGCTGTACCAAAGAACAGCCAACGTCCTCTTTGTGCGCTGTGCAAAGCAAGCCTATGCCTAGTCTGTGCGCCGTGTGCAGTGGCTTGTTGAAAATGCGTGAGCTGAATGGAGACCATGCGAAGGATACAATGTCATACTGATCAACGCTCTCTATCTCACGCTCTGACCAAAATTTGTTTCAATAACAGGCATTTTTGCTAGGCACACTTACTCTCAATTACTCGAGATGAATCGCTATGCGGGCTGATTGTTTCTGCTTCGTTTCGCGCAGATTTGGGCCTCGCCTTCGTGACGTACCCCGAGGCACTGAGCCGAATATCGTTCGTGCCTCAACTCTGGTCCGTTCTGTTCTTCCTCATGCTGTTCCTACTCGGTCTCGGCACAGGTGTAAGTGAACGACATGCTGCCAGCTATTATTGGAGGCAGTGGCGCGAAGTCATCAGCACAAAAGTCTAATGACTCACGAGTAAAATGAAACCGGCGTAGTACAGAAGAGAAAATTGCGACTTGGGGTGCGTTTACTTTCTATTTCCGAAAAAAATGAAGCCAAGGAGATGGCAGAGAAGCATCAGAAGGTGTTTAAAGAAAAAAAGTTGAACTTAAAAATGAACTCGTTTGTTGATTGGCTGCCCGTCTTGCGAATGTCCCGCGACACACCCTCATAGGAAGCTCTTGTCTTGCGTCCAGGAACAGATCCGAAAATCTTCGAGAAGGTTTGAAATTTCACACTTATGATTACTGTTCGGCCGCCTCTTCACTTAAGTTACATTTCACCACCCCTGCTTGAGGTATGCGTTCGAGAATTTCTGCTAGCCACATGGTTTCCGGTGACTGTGAATTCTTGTGCTGCCAGTAATAGGAATCTGACATCAAGAATGTAAAACAAGAAATACTAATTCAGGAAAAAAAAAAAAGCAGAGGAAGGGGCCTTCTACGTCAGCTTGGATCAGTGCGAAATAAAGTACAGGAATTCAGAGCCTTGTTTTAGAACAGATATTCGGTTATTATCGAAGAAACTGACCTTATATAGCGTTGACGCAATGATTGATAATCTGACGAGTATTATTACGGAGTGTGCAGTAGAATTTTGAGGTATGGTAGTTAGACAGAACACCAGCAAGCTGTTCCAGGAGACGAAGAACCTCAATGCATGAAAGCTTCAAACACAAGTCACAGAATAGAACTGGCAGAGCTTTCAAAGGTGATTAATAAGCGTAAGGCATCCGATTTAAGGAAGTATAATATGGGAAGAATTGAACATGTTCTAAAGAAGAGAGAAAGTGTCAACGCGGCGAATAGAAAACTTGGGATAGGCAAAAACTAGATGTATGCACTAAGAGGCAAGGAAGGCAACGTAACTATCAATATTGATAGGATAGTTAAAGTAGCGGAGGATTTTTACGGAGATCTGTACAGTATCTGTACAGAGGAAATCTGTGCAGTAGATCTGTACCGCAACCACTACAATAATGTACAAACTAGCAGTAATCTAGATGATATCTCACCACTAATGATAGAAGTCAGGAGAGCCTTGGAGGGACTGCAAAGAGGCAATGCTGCTGGTGAGGATCAGGTTTGGTGGGCAGATAATATTAGGAAATTTGCGGATATGAAGTGGCAGCAGCAAGCACTGGACCGAGTTGACTGGCGGAACATGAGAGAGGCCTTTGTCCTGCAATGGGCGTAGTCAGGCTGACGATAATTAATGATGTTTTGGTTACTCATTTTTCATGTTGACGTTAATAACTTCGTTTTGTGTTGAAAAATATAGTACAGTAACTAATGAAACCGATTAGTTTGTACAGATATTGTTGTAACTTGAGCTTCTGTCAGTTACACTGTTTCCCGATATCAGAGGTGGCAGAGTAGTGAAAAAGAAGCTTTTTCGCTAGAAGGTCAAACAATGAATTATTGCAATTAGTTTATCATCGTGCTGCGTCCGAAATTCTTTTAAAGGACGCTAAAATGAGACACTGAATTGATTTACCTTGAGCAACTGTGCCCTGGGAAATCTAAGGTGATTATTTTTTCCTTCATGGATTAACTCTTGGAGGAGAAAATGAAAGTGTAATTTTTAAATTCACGTCGAAACCTTCACGGGTTAACTCTTGGAGGAGAAAATGAAAGTTTAATTGTTAAATTCACGCCGAAACTTTCACGAATTAACTATTGGAGGAGAAAATGAAATTTTCATTTTTAAACTCACGCCGATTCTTTCACGTGTGACGTGACGAGTTTCAAAGAGAATTTTTCGCATTTTGGCAACATTGGACCAACAAGATTTCCTGAAATTCGGAAGGATAAGCCTCTGTACCCTCAGAGGGCAATCTACTTCATCTTTACTGGTTAGAAACTACGTCGGCCCTCGTGGATGTTGTCAATAACTATGACGTCACAGTGATTAATGCGGCAATTTGGAAGTGGTGTTTTCACACGCATTTTTTTTATTCTTCACGGGTTCTTCCGCTTGCCAAAGAGAGAGAAAAAGAGAGAGAGAGGGAAAGCAAGAAGTTGGAAAGCGGTTGACCAGATGAACCTGTAATTTGCACTGGAGATAAAAAAAATGAGGTTTAACAAGAGAACGAGAGAAGGAGAGCACTGCACGTGCAAAGAAATGCAGTCAGTAAGTCGTTGAGGCCGGAGCTCCTCTGACCTACATTTCATCAGCGTTCAGACAGGCGACTCGGAAATCGCGGCCTTTTGAGAGAGTCGCGGGCGATCCGCGGTGAAGCGCCGTCTCGCTGCAAGCATGGGGATTTTGGTATTGCGAAAGAGTATAATTTACTAATACGATAAAAACAATCACTTTTATTTTTCAGCGCACATTCAACTCTCCGTTGACGCGTTTTTCTACGTGCAGGTCGGTGACGTCCAGGCGGTGACCACGGTCCTGAGCGACCAGTTTCCCGCGCTCGCCAAGTGGAGGAGCCACATGGCGGTCGTCTTCTGCACCATCTGCTTCGGCACGGGTCTCGTCCTGTGCACCGACGTACGTTGCCACGTGCATTTTGCGTACTTCCTCAATCCTTCGCTAACGTGCCGGTCTTCGTGGCTGCGTGCGACACTTTCGGGCGAACATACTTCCGTAGTTTGACGCTAAAGGAGTCAGGCATATGTTGTTAAGACAACGACACGCAATGACTAACGCTAAGTCACTGTTACCTGCCCGAACAGCATTAGCGTAATTCTGGCTCGTCATTACAGATCACCTAGTCAGGCTTAAAAAAAGGAACGAAATATTGATGAAAACTTACGCATAGTTACGTTAACGTAGCCTTGTCATCCTAATGAGAACGGAGGTGGTGTCCATATTTTTTCAAAGGAACATGGTCGACAACTTGGAAGTTGTAGGATACGAAGTTTTCTAAAAAAAATTGCTTGCTGGGCGAGTTACTGCGTCATTGTAGAAAGCAACGCTAAGAACGGGCGGTCCTTTAATTGTATCCACTTCCGTTCTGTTTTCCTCGATGAGAAATGCTTACTACAAACATATATCTTATTTTATGCATGTTACAAACAAACAATAGCCTTAAAAATATCTCATAATGAAAAGTATTGCTGGCTATCGAGGTTTTGAGCAACCCGAAAGAACTTGTTATTGGGCTAGCTGTCCATGCTTGCCAAACATGTAGTTTGGCACTCCTCTGTCATATGCTTGTCTTTTGGCGATTTAAGCCTTGCTTCAGGAGCAACATGTTTCGCAAGGTCAGGTGTATGTGGCTACCACATGCTCCCCGGAATGATGCAATGTTGCGAAAAGTAAAAGAGAAACACTGCTTCGGTGGAGTGATAATTGCGTGCTGTAACACGCTAAATGGTTTGCACGTGCACGTAACAGTGAGTGGCGCTTAATGGCGGAAGTCTTTAATGTTGAATGATTAAAAGGGACTGATATAGATCATACGCAGGCGTGATCAGCGAACGGTTACGTTTGTGCTATCTTCTGTGATCGAGCATAATGTATCTCTCTCTCTTTTTGTCCTCTACTTTGCTTATTTAGAGCGGAAATGCGATGCGCCTGCTGTTCGACAACTACGGCGTAGGACAAGCCGTGTTTCTTTACGCCATATTTGAAGTCGTCGGTCTCATGTGGATTTATGGTGAGTGCTAAGAATTTCGCTGTCGTTTGAATCTTGAGTCTCTTTTGCTGGGATAACAGTACCTTTTACGTTCTTTAATTTAAACTAATAACAAGCCTAACTAACCATTATTAAATCCTATTGTTATGTTGGCTAACAAGCGTGCGATTGGCATGCCGGCATATGAAGTCAATTAAATGGGCCATTATATGGCAGATACTTTCAATTTCGGGAATTCCTGGGTCCGGTATCGTTTAAAAGCCCCGTTCATGACATGTTATCCAGACATAGCTTGCTTGTTCCACTAAAACTTCGAAGTTTGCATACAATGTTGCAACAAGTATACGATAGCGAGGCCGTGGCCTTTGACGTGGATAAGCACAAACATTTCATGGGATCACATTAAAATTAAAAAAAAAAGTCACAGCTTTGTCGCAAAGGCGAAGCAATGAACGCGAATTACGTGATAGCAACAAATTGGAAGGTCACGCGCAGAATGGCAAGCAGATGGAAACGTGTCCCGCCTTTTTCACGCACAAGGGACGCACGAGACGTACTCACAGGTACAGATTAACGCGAATAAGCATCTCAGTTGTTACTTCGCTGTGTCTGAAAAGCGCGCCATTTTCGCAAACAGAGGCTGTGCAACGATTGAAGTGACCTTTGTGCGCCCGGTAACTACAACAGAATCGTTCCGACGAAACTCAAAGGCTAGCTGAGATGTACGATTTTCCTCACTGCAAGATAAGGGCACGCGATCGAGCGTACACATCCTTATTCTCTACGCGGGCCAAAGTACGCGTGAGAGATGACAGCCGCGCGATCACTGCGCCACCTTGCTGATAATGCTGAAAACACAATAGTTACCCCCCTCCCCCCTAGATGCTCGCCAACAGTGGTAAGTGGTAAATATGGTTCGCCGTTTAAACGTTCAAAGAGGTACTCTGGGGGGCTCAGTGGTTAACGCCTCGCATTCACGACGCGGAGGTTCCACGTTCGATTCCGCGCGCCGGAGTGTTTTATCTGGTTTTTTTTTCTTTTTTTGCGTTTTCACGTATATAGATACGTATACATATACGGTGCATGACATCGACGTCGACACCCACGCCGACGCTGATGGCGAAATCCAGCCGAGAGTTTCCATATAATTTCTATCGTAATAAAAAATAAACTTTATACTCATCACACTTAACTGCAAAGCTTTTGTCCGTTCACATAAAGGTCAGCTTCACATAGAATCGAAAGAATTCGCTCTACACTCATATATATTTATTTAAAGACCAGGAAATGGAGCACACACATTAGCTACTGTTATGGACATAGCGGAGTTCACGTGCTAACCGAAGGAAATAATAAAAATTCCACCGAAGTTTGCTTCTAAACTTGGCTTCACTGCTTCACACAACAGTACTAAAGTAAAGCTGCACTTGTAGGCAGCGTAATTATTGCCGTGAAGCGGTACACTTAAACAAAGTTAGTATGTTGAGAATCCACGCACTTATTCACTACAAAGGTGCCCTGAATGCACTGAGGATCAAACGGAGAAAACGAATTCTTTCTGGCGTCTTTTTCTTCGGGAAGACACATGAACTGGTATTGATTAAATAAGACTCCTGAAGTTTTACGCTATTATTAGTCCGTGTTATGCAGAATGTTTTGTCGTTGTGATTATATCTTTGTAATAAATTTCACAGTGGTTCGTATACATAGCGCAGTACATGTGGCTATATACTCGAAGAATGCATTCCACTTAACGGTGGTGTCTTCAATGAAGCCTTTTAACTGCTCGAGTTGAAGTGGAAGTGTGGAATTTCGCATGTGTGCCATTTCGGTGATGCTGTGTTTGTAAAAATAAATAGAAAATTTCAAATCAAGGGCAGGGTGTGTATAACAAAGAAAAGAAATAGAAGACACCTAAAATTTGTCTCATGCTTGTGTGAACGCTAATCACGTCTTCGTTATAAATGCTTGAAGTACGTAAATTTTAGTGCACGTAACAGAACCCCAGGTGGTCGAAACATTCGGAGCCCGCAACGTCTCTCATATTCATGTTGCGGTTTTGGGACGTTAAACTGTAACAATGAATAATTATATTTCTTCACATCATTCCACGATCGACAGAGCTAGTCTATGGTTTCATGCTATGTTTTGATTTCAGGTATCAGAAACGTCATCAGGGACTTCGAGTTCATGCTCAATTCAAAGATTTCATGGTTCTGGAAGATCACTTGGGGATTCATTACGCCCGTGTCCCTCATCGTAAGTAGTTTCCGTGTCAATCGCCAATTAATGCCGTTGCTCGTGAGATGGCTGGGAGTTCATTTAGGTGAAACGAAAGCGGAGTTTTGTACATAATTAGGGTTTAGTCTGGCATATGAACGCGTCGTAACTTTTTTCATTACTTTCATGCAAATTTGAACGCATTTGTGCCACGTCTAAGCACTGTCGAGTGTTGCTAACGGGCCCAACTATCGTGACAATCAATCTATCAATCAATCGGTCGGTCGGTCGGTCGGTCGGTCGGTTGGTCCTATTGTTATTCACGGCTATGTAACTTCGGGAATACGCAGGTCGTGACAGGAATTCACTCATATTCAAGCTATCTGCAGCTGTCTTCGAGGCCTTGCGCATCATGCGTTAACAGCGTGATAATGGAAACAAAGTGACGCTTTGCCAGTTTGACAGTTGCAAGACCTTTTTTTATGTTCATGTATATCCTTTAGAGTACCACTGATATGCACAATGCTTACACTGGAGTCAACTATCATTTGGCAACTTGCAGCGCTAAACTGAAGGACGGAGGAGAGTGGGATCGCAACGCAATAATGCGGTTCGTAATCCTCATCTCCTCTGTCCTCGTGCGTTGAGTGCCCCAGCTTGTCAGATCACCGTGGTTAGTTTTATACTACACTGTTGAGCTCAGCGTCTCTGAATGCCTCCAGGCCATCTTCATCTACGGCAACGCCACCGAGGGAGGCGCTTCTAGTCTGCCGCCGCTGGGACAAACCATCGGCTGGATCATGGCTGCCATCGCCATTGGTCAAGTGCCATTGTGGATGGTCATCACATTCGCCAAAGCTCCCGGAAAAACCATTTGCCAGGTGCGTCTCCACTTCAGAGGGCGGCGTTTTTTTCGAGAGTGGAATGCGGTGACGTTTTGTCTATCGCACTCCACATCTTAAAGGGACTCTAAAGAGAAATAATACATTAGTTTATATTGATAGTTCGTGCTCTGAAAACTATAGTATCGTCAATTCTATTGCCACGAGCTCATTAAAAGATGAGGAAAATCAACATCTTCAGCACGGTGTACGAAGTGCCTTTTACATTCCGATATTGTGTATGAATATCTTATGGTTGCGTGGCAGATTCAACGAACGCATTTTTTTTTTCGTATTTAGGCATGTCTCGGCCTTCCTCAGAAAACAACGTACCTCATTTTAAGTATTAGGAACTACGCAGGTCTTACTAGATACCGTCAAACTCTATGATGTGATGGCGACCGGTCCGCGAATTTGAAGATGACTTCGCCACCCACATTTTCGTTTGCTCGTTTTCGCAATTACCAAGCGTATTCTCCCACCACGCATGGGGTATCTGGCATCGCAAGACAGTGGTTTATTAATATGTGAAAATTTGTTTCTCTATTTAGCGTCACTTTCGCACATCATACAAAATGAGGGGGAAAAAGACATAAAGGTAGAACACTTTCGCAGAGTGTAATAACGTTACATTGTGGATCTTGTTTTCTGTGGTCTAACAGCTCTACCCTTACTTCACAATCTTCAATGCTTCTCTTTTATTCCCTGTCTTTCTTTCATTCTTAATGCTTTTACGGGAGTCCTGAAATTCACTGTTTTTGATGTTCGGGCCAGGTTCTAATCTCGTTTTTCTCTGATTACAGAAACTGAAAGCGACGTTCTCGCCATCCGAGAACTATGGTCCACGCGACCCGATGATTCGCGGGGAATGGAACGCGTGGAAGCAAGAGCAGCTAAAGGCGCGCAAGGGGCGCTTCGCGGCACCTTCGCAAGCACCCTACGTCACGAACGGTCAAGTCAACCCCACCTACGTCCACGACACCAGCGGTTAATCGCCGCTCACGCTCGTCGGGAACACAGGGTTTTACCAACGTTCTTATTTTTTTACTTGCCGTATGTGCAGTCTAGTTGACGACTGGCGTTGCTACCGAATCATAAACGCACGGTCGCACGGGACGCAACGCAAGTCTTCCCGGCAGCAAGCACGTCGCTTGCTCTCAGCATTTGTTACGTGTCAGAGTGTGGTCTTCGAAACCGAGGACTTTATTTACCGTACACTACAGGTAACGTGCAACGGCACTGCTGTTTGCATCACATAGTAATGATGTGCTCCGTTGCTATTCATCCGTCTAGAAAGAATGCGCCAGCATTACGTTGACTGCGTCAAAACGCAAGGCATATGCGCAAGGATGGCGGCACTGCCAAAGCCCGCGTCTACTGGTCTTGCAGGATACCCCCACTTTCCCTCAGCGCAGAAACTGGAAGGGACGTGTGGCTGAAGGGACGTGATGAATGAAGTGAAGTGTGAACTGTACTGTCGGCCATGTGCGGAGTGAAGTGATCCCGGCAACCGCAACGGGTATCTGTGATAAAAAATGCACTGCGAACGGCTGTCATAGAGCAGCGAAAGTCGCCGAAGACTTTATACGACCGCGACACGTGAATGAGCCACTTGTTTTTAAACGTCGGAAAGAAACAATAAAATATTTTATACATTGCTTTTAGTAATGCCTCTTATTAACGCGAAAGCCTTCGATATCTCGTCAAATGTGGAAAGTGATCGTCGGGGTACGGCGTTGTCGGCGTCAAAACCAGTGATGCAAGGAATCGTCATGCCGCGATATGGTTGCGCACGAGTGACGTTCTGTTCAAACTGATCGGCTGTGGAGAGGTTGAGGTTCATATTGACTCGGCTACTCCATATCAAAAAGTGTTGCAGCAAAAAAAATTAAAAGAATAATACTGAACGATACCCAAAAATGAACAATCAGCAAAAAAAATGATACACTGAAACCAGTTTAAATATCATGCCAATGCACAGTTTTCTTGCAGCAGTTCCCACTGTTATAAAATGTCCCCACGCACACCTTTCTGTTTCTACTCTCAGTATATGCACTAACACAGCATTTCATATGTCAACCCCTGGCTGTCCATCACAGGCGCTTATTCAGCCCGGTCTCCACTAAGAAGTCTGTCGGGAAGATGTTCGCTTTTTTCTCAACATGCATCTCGGGCCATGGTCCGAGTAATTTCTTTAATTTGAGGGGCCGTCTGGGCAAACTTGCTCGTTTGTTCCTTAATTTTTGTCTTTCTTTCGCGTACTTTACAAACTCCGAAACGAGTGATGTAAAAAAATCATCGCTTGTCATCGTAGCAATGTGGCGTCACCATGACGTCAAAGATTGCCAAAATTCGAGACGTCATAATTAAGTTCCTATGACGTCACATGCAAATGATATTGTCGCTTGGTCGAAGTTGGACCAATCAAGGTCACAGTGCAATACAAGGGGAAGCGCTGCTTGGGAGTGTGAATGCATTTATTGAGAAGAAAAATAAGAATTCTTTCGCTTTCATGTTTCTAGCGTCTATTAGACTCTCAGCAGCTTTTGGTCACGTGACAGCGTCATGTTTGACGTCACTGGTTGAGCGGCGCGTCGTGGTGGGAAAACTGTGAGAAGCGTGAAGCCGTTCATTCGAATTGCATGTAAAGCGGTGGTACGATGTCACGTGGGGCGCTTCTGCTCAGTTCAAGTGACCGAGAGCAGTTGAGGCAATTAACTGTGTCGTTCTTAACTGGTACCTAAATAATGTGCATGCGACTCGTTTTGCATTTGCCGTTGAATATGCCGGAACAAAACAGAAAAAAATAAAGGCACGTACTCAGTTTCATCTGTAGAAGTTGAAATAATTTTTACTTCTCCGTATACTCCATTTTATTATACAGCACGTTCGAGAAGTCGTTTGAGAGCGCACTGAGCGTGTTCAAATGTCTTGAATTCAATTGTTTTTTAAAGCTATATGTATGCAATCTATGTTCCTCCTTACCTAATTGTATTGGCGGGCCCTCTTGTTTTGGTGGTAATGCTTAAATGCTCTTTTCCATTTTTCTTTTTTTTAGACTCCGGAGCGCTCTAAAACAACCACCCAAATGTATACCCATAGTTTGGCAATCTAGCTTGCTTAGACCCATATGCCTATTTCGTCTCCAAATATACGATCCTTACTTACTTATTCGCGATCCAATCTTCCGCCAATATTGCTCATATGGAGCGTTTGCATCAACTCTGCAAAAGCGTTTTTTTTGTACTTTGCTTCAGCGGTCGTGTTGAGTGATCAACGTGATGGATCAACCTATAGTAGTTCACACAGCACAAAAGCGGATTTAGAATGTTTGTTTAAGCGAAAGCTGTGGCACCTGGAAGTTTGGGCTGGCTGCAACCAGTAAAACTTCGTACGTTACGTCAAGCCTGCCGTAGTCGTGAACCTTGCTATGCATTGCGAAGACGCGGGTTCCGTGAAAAGTGCGCCAGGTTGCGCTTTTTTAATGTTTCACTGGATATCAAGAGAGCGTACGATAGCGTGGTTCAAGAGGACTTGTGGAGAATACTGGACACACTAGGTGATGAAGATGCAGTCACTAATATTTTAAAGGAAATCTATGAAAGTAACAAGGTAGTTTTAAAGTGAGAAAAACAGGTATCCAAACCCACAAAGGTGAAACGGGGGCTTAGGCAGGGGTGTCTTTTGTCACCCGTGTTATTCATGACGTACATACAAGGATTAGAGGCCAAATTAGAGGGAAGTGGACTTGGCTTCAACCTCTCTTTCGTCAAACAAGGAAAACTCGTTGATGAGGCACTACCAGCATTAATGTACAAATTGATATAGTGCTAATGGCCGACAACAAGGAATATTTGCAGAGATTGATGGACATCTGCGGTAATGAGGTAGGTAGGTTATATTTTAGATTCAGTAAGGAAAAATCAGCAGTCATGATTTTTAATGACAATGCAGGTTGTGAGCTTAGGATACAGGGAGTCATACTAGAGATAACAGATAAATACAAATATCTGGGCGTATGTATAAGCAATGGGACCGACTACCTAAGGGAACACGAAATATACGTGAACACTAAAGGTAACAGAAATGCAGCAGTGATGAAAAATAGGGCACTGGGGAATTACAATAGGTATGATGTTGTGCGAGAAATATGGAAAGGGGTCATGGTTCCTGGTCTGACGTTCGGCAATGCGGTCTTGTGCTTGAGATCAGAAGTTCAAGCAAGATTAGAAATTAAGCAACGTGGAATAGGTAGGCTTGCCTTAGGAGCTCACGGGAATACACCAAATCAGGGGCTACAAGGTGATATGGGATGGACATCATTTGAGGGCAGGGAAGCTAGCAGCAAGATAAAATTTGAGAAGTGATTGAGAGAAATGGGGGAGGAGCGTTAGGCTAGGAAGGTATTCAGCTACTTGTACATGAAGAATGTCGATACAAAATGGAGGAAGCGAACCAGAAAATTGACTGGTAAATACTTAGAAAACAGCAGGGGGCTAAACCAAAAAGAATTATCGGTTAAAAAGAAGGGGAAGGAAGCTGAGACCGATATGTGGAGAAATGGCATGATTAAGAAGTCCGAACTAGAGATGTATCGAACTTTTAAGCAGGAAATTGCCAAGGAAAAGAGCTATGATAATACTCGCGGTAGTTCTCTACTGTTTGAGGCCAGGACGGGAGTATTGCGAACCAAGACATATTGGACCAAATACGAAGGAGTAGACACAGTATGCAGCGCGTGTGGAGAGGAAGAAGAAACTGCCGAACACTTTATAATGTTCTGTAAAGGGCTTCACCCTATAGTTCACAATAATGGCGCAGAGTTTTTCAAAGCACTTAGGTTTAAGGACAAGGAGGGCGAAATAGACTCTGAGCGGGTAGAATTAACTAGAATAAGGTTATCTGATTGGTGGCTAAAGTCAAGGCACGAGTGAAAATTCGACCCTTCACTCCAAAGTACCAGTCCTCAACTACACTATTTAAAGGAAAAAAAAGAGATAAATCTAGTGGTCAGTTAACTAAGTATTACGGCTAGGTAGCATTAGCCGCCTCCCGATCTTAAGGGTAGAGCCCCATCCATCCATCCATTCATGCTGCAAAACGCCTGCATCAGTCTTAACCTGTAAGGGTTGGCAATAAGAACAGATCGCATCATTTCTGCCGGCGACCACTGTATCAGCGAGTCGTCATTGTCACTGTCCGCCAAGGAAATTGACTATTTACGCCGCTTTGCAATTAATTTGGGTGCAAACTGTTGTTCGCTGATTCTGCGGATAGGTTTGAAGGTCTTTCCATGCCCATAATTTGTTAAACGAAATGTCATTGTTACGCGGTTTTTCGTGTTACGAGGGCGGTCCGATAAGCACACAGCATCACCGCGAAAGCGCGATACTATCGCATGAGACATGTACTGGCGTTGAGTATACGCTCACAGAGGGACAGACGCAAAGGTCCAGTCGAATCTGTTCACAGTTTTGTTTTGGTCTCTTGAGGAAGGTGATTTTTGTAGGTGCGTTAAAAAACCGCAATGTTTCATGTTGCATTGCGAAGCATGTGTTTGTGAAGCATGAATGCTACTTTCACTGCTCTCTAATCGGATGAAGTTGTGGCTGAGCATCCGCTTGCCACGCAAACGAGCCGGGTTCGATTCCCACGGCGACCGAAACACCCCCGGTGCAGTCTTCACTCTTCTCCAGAATTTTTTTTATCAAATATTTATTTTATGTGCATCGTACTTGATTTTTTTTGGTCACACATAAAATGATTTTTTGCTCAGAACCAACCATGCCAACACCGGAATTTCTGCGAAACGAGCTCTTTAACGCTGTCGCGTTAATAATAAAATACAGCACTGACGAATGCAGGTGCTCTTATAGGGCGCCTGTATACATCAATGTTTTTCTCTGGTGTATGCGCTAAAAATTGCTATGGAATCGCAACATGCCCAAACCTACGAGATAAGCTTCCCCGCGTCCTTTCCTTCAATCTTGCTCCTTACGTGACTGTCGTATCAGTTCGCTTTTTGAAGAACCATCCTTGAAGCTTCGTGTCATGCCCCGAATAAATCCACTCCTTAAATCGCCCGCCATACCAAAGCTTTGTCACATGACCCTCTTACCCTCTTCCCGTGCGCCCCCTTGCCTCCACCGTCGCCACGAGGGTTTTTTTTTTTTTTTTTGCATGAATGCGTAACACCGACGGGGTAAAGTTTTCACCAACAGCTTTGAGGGTGCGTATTTGACGGCCCGCCGAACATCGACACAAGGTCACCGTGCAAACTTCTTTACAGGTGCATTGCCTCCGCGATTAGCTTAGGCAATGAGCTGGAGCAGTTTCACGCAAGCTGCTACTCATAGTTTCAGTACGGAAATATAACTTCTCATAACGTGTAAGCGCTCTAACAGTGTATCGTTTTTTTAGGAGGGGGAAGGGGGCTACAGGAGTACTAAGGAAGATCCTGGCCGAAAGGGGTTTGCTTGAAGTTTTTTTAGCTCAGCTCGCAACAGGCACTAGAATGTTGCTTTTGAATACATTAAACGACATTGCGCTGAAACTAGCAGAAGCCGGTGAGCACTAGAATTGCGGCAGAAAAGAGACATTCGTTCACGAAAATGTTTATTGAAGTACACGCGTTGTCCCGGGAATCGCGCGTCTCTTCTTGAAT